CCCCAAAACCCCAAAACCCCAAAACCCCAAAACCCCTATATTTACACCCAATATTGGATTAATAATTGTACAAATATAATTAATATTATTTTGTAAATATGAACAAATACAATTTTGACAATGAAGAAGTTAACCAGGCCTTGAACGAGCTTACTGATGAGATCTGTGCTAAGAATAATGATAAGAGAGGCAGATGGCTATCGGAGAGTGAATTCAGCAATAGTTTTGGCTCTTCACCAGAGAGTTGTAATGGCGATGAAGAGCAATGAGAGACTGTGTCCCTAGATGTCACAGGACTGTCAGAAACCAAGGTTAGACTCAGGTTTGACTCTGAATCGTTGGCTAAAGTTGATCTGAATGCCAACATGAAGGAATCCCTTCTAACCAAATTTTAAATTAGTTTTCTTAAGAGATTTTCCATTTACTCTTAACTGCTCTTATGTACTTTGCTTTTAATCTGGGATGTGTTCAGAAATCACTAGAAAGGGTTTCACCAGAAGATTCAATATTTTTATTCTTTCAAACTTCGGGAGGGATAGATAAAACTCTAAAGGGGAGCATCTATTTGGTACACTTTAGTATTGCTTCTGATATATCATTGCCCGATTTCACTAACAAAAAATTTTACTAATCCTTACCCAAAGTGTTAGTTTCATGCTAAATCTGGGAGAACTTTGAACAGAGACTCCTTTTGTGTTAGGAACGATGCATAACTTTATATTAAAGCACAAAAGCATGGTATCCATGTTTTTGGCACTTTTCCCCCTCATTTTGGGCCATTTCGGAAACCATTTTTCTTGCATTATCAAAAAGATTCTTAAATTACCATCCATAAAATGCAATTAATTAACTTAAAATTTTGACACTAACTTAATCTGGAACGAGAATTTAACATCTTTACAAAAGCGTGTTCTGAAACCGTACACACTCTCGTAATTAAGGTCAAGCTACAAAGTCTTCAGTATACAGAGACCCTTGCCTGAGAGCCTTAGTTCTTATCTTCTTACATGGATTTATGAGTCGAGGACATTTTTAGGTGATTAATTCAGAAAATGAGTATGTATCTCGTATAGTTGAAGAAAGTTGCTGAGATATCCTCATCCAAGTCTTAAAATTATCAAATTAACACAAATAATGTTGCAATGTATTTCTTTTGAAGATTCTCCAAGTTTAAATAGAGTGTTTCATTAAAGCCTTAATTAAAACCTGGAGTTTTGTTGACCTCTGATTTAAAAAAGAGAAATATCTCTATATCACCTGGATCTGATATCATTGGTATTTTCGTTAACTTCCAAACTTGTATCTACAATTAAAACCCAGACATTAACTTAGAGGTTTGCAGGCATATCGGTAGTCCATAGCTATGGTAAAATGTGGAGATTATGATTTCCTTGATAGGAACCCGAAGTTTGGAGACCTGAATAAATGCACTGAAATACTTAATAGAACGAACACTGAATTCCCTTCTAAACTCACCGATAATTTTACTACAAAGGCGAAAGATACATATAGCTAACTTTATATATGCCTTAGAAATATTGGTTAAAAGGGATAGGAAGAGGTATAGAATTGCAAAAGAAACTTTACCGCAATTTTTCAGAGCTCTAACATCTCCAAAAAGCTACCTTCCAATGAAAATTTTGAAGCTTTTGATCATAATTTTTTATCTTATTTTCGGTGAATAGAAGGATGAGCTTACTACATCCACACCAAATGATACCTAACTCTTAACATAGTACTTAGCCATGCTTATAGCTAATTTTAGTAGAAGACTTTTAACCCCCAACTAAGACCTTTAATGCCATTCAAATTGCTTAGGTTTAAGTAATCCTTCTACCATTATCTTCTCTTATGTGAATCCATAACCGAAATTTTCCGCAAAATAACCTGTTTTAGCAATTTTTATTGCTAAATATTTCTATTTTTACTACTATCAAAAGCTTTTGCCTCTAAAATCATGCACAAAAATTCTCTTGGAAGCTGATTCCATAACTTTGGCTGCCCCTGGCTTTGGAGAGTTTTCTTCGCGTGCTACGCTATTGATACTTCTCTTAAAAATTTGGCATAAACTTGTTTAAAAGAAGGGGTTACTACAAATTTTCTTGCCATTAATGCTATCTGCTACTTTGGCAGAAGTCCTAAGTGTCTAATGCTCAATAAATGATAAGGGATCTTGGACTTCTGCTACCTGCAAGTTTAGGGATGCTTAAGTCTGTAACTTATATACACCAATTTTCCCAAACTTTCTGTTAAAATTACGTGGTATGTGAAGATGTCAGGGAACAATATCAACAGAATCAGAAGATAATTTTGATAGTTGTAAGAATTTTTAAAAGAATTCTGGCTTATATCTAAAAGCCTCCTAGCTTTCCTGCTTGATTGCCAAAAATTATAGATGAAATTTACCTAAAGTTTAACATACCTAATTTTTTGAAAAAATGGAAAGACCCAAATCATTTTCTTTCGTAGAGTTGTGACAAGATCTTTATCAACCAAAAAGTTGTTATAAGCATGTAGATTCTTTCTATACTATCTGGACTTTGTGAGGCTGATCGGCTTCGTAATCCTGCCATTAAAGTCAAGAATTCTACAAATATTGGTCATAATCTAAGAGAGCATATTTACAAATTATTTACATATGGTGAAGATGGGGTGTTTAGCTAAAATATGAATTTAGAAAATACTCCGCAAGTCAAATCAAGCTGCAATCAATTTTCGAAAATTTTATTCTATTACTATTAAAAGGAACTATATCTCACCAGCAAGTATGTTTAGACGATGTTAGCAAATCTGAGAGTACATAATCTAGTCTCCAATTATAGGAGCTCTTATCGCCCTGTACAATAAATTATTTGAAATAGAAGGAGTTCTTAGCAGTAGAAATTAATAAATTGCCCTTTGATCTCTATTTTGCGTAAAATAGAATTTGTAGATTTAGAAATCATACCTTAGATCCACTATATAAGAGTTGAATTAATAGTGTTTAACAATGTTTAATCAAGGAATTGAACTCCCCCATTTCATAATACCTCACCATTACAAATCCTGTATTTTAAATTGGAGTGTTTCAGCTCTCCCAAAGTAGGCAAATCGAATTTTTCATAAACACGTCTTAATGTCATTGCACACTTTTCCAAAAGAGCCTCATAATTTTCTCCAAGGGTTGATTATCTGAAACAAGCATAGAGGTTCCGTACTATTATGCATGAAGAAGGCCTAATGATTGGGCGTAATAAAACTTTCCATTTAAGGCGTTTTGAAAAATCTCCTGATTTTTTTTCGAGATAACTATAAGCTCCATCTATTCTGCTATTGTTGATATTTATTTTTAAAATTTTGGAAGTAAAGAAGAATTAAAATATTTCAATTTCTCTGGCTCTTCCAAATATGGAAAATCCTGCTCTCGGCAGATAATAATGAAGGAAAGAGGTCTTGATATAGGATCAAAGAAAGCTTAGCAATATTTTCAGTCTAACATTCGACGATTTGGATAGCTAATTCTTCCTCTAAAGCTGGGGGTGAGCAATTATTAGAATTTTAGCATACAAAAAATCATGAGAAAATTTTCTTGTCAACTCTTTATTTGGAATGCTAAAAGAGGAGATTTGTTTATCAAAATTGTCTAAACACTTCAATTATGCTTAAGAATCATTCATTTTCTATATATCCCAAACTTTTTGTGCTCTAGCATACATTCTCAGAGATTTTCTGAGTAAAAAGGGTCAAAAAGTTCCTAGTTCATACTTTGTGGTTTTTCAGAAATTACTCAATTCAAGCACTTTCGCATAAGCCATGCAAACTTGAGAGCTCTGATTAGGAAGTCAAAATCTTAAGATGCTCTTAAAGAGAGGTCTTGATGGCATATCTCTTCAGAGATTAGCGTCATTGCTTATTTTCTGTCTAAATAAATTTTAAATTTCCCAAAATCTCTTCAGGCTCAGAATTAAAAGAATCTTGCATGAATGAAGTGAAGAGAACTCCAGAAATTTAGAGAATATTGCCGAAGTTCCTATCCTAGTTAAACCTGAGGTTGGCGTGGTGCTGAAAATTCATTGTTAAAGGATTACTTCTTGATTCCACCATTTTTGAATAGAAGATAAAATATTCCACAAAAGAGTATTGGTTTAATTTTTATCAAAGTTTAGATTATATGAAGCACATACCTTTTTGGACCCATTTTGGGTAATTTAGTGCTTCTAGAGCTTAATTAACTGTACGTGAAGCTTTAGATAGGTTATTTAGCTAATGACTCAACTATTTAGCTTCCTGAGCACTCGAATAGTTCCATTAAGCCTTCAATATGTGCTCATTTCAATTAAGATTTATAGGTAATGCATGTGTCGTTATACCAGAGTCGAGCTTTCGAGGGATTTCAGAGATAAAAATTTATGAATTTATTTAGGAAATTTAGATAGACGGTTTAAGAGAGGTTTGACCTCCTCCTGGCCAAAAATCGAAAAATTTGCGGTAGTCCAAAAGCCATATTATTAAGGATATTGCCGGGTTCCGTAAATCTTCCAATCTCTCTCAAAAAAAGAGTGATTAGTTTCGTGAAATATTCAACTTAAATCATGAAGTTCTATTTACTCTAAACTACTCTAGAATTTGCTAAAAATAGGTTCGATAGGATTCAGAGTTTATCACCATCCTCATTTTGTTGCATAATTTCTAAAGGAAACTTTAAATCCTTCATAAAATTCCCCCACAAAAGCTTCATCCTACAAACTTATGTTGGCTGATAAGTTTTGGCATAAATTATCTGATTGCGACTCGAGTGCGTCCTTAAAGCAAAAGAAAGAGAACAAGATATGCTAGAAGTTCATGAACTTTCTATTCGGAAAGCTCTTGAGGAGGCTTACATCAAGAAAGAGATTCGGAAATTTTCTCTCTTTAATAGCTAGTTGAATGCAATGGTTGAGTGAAGGCATTCTTCACTTACATTTTTCATGGAGAATTGAAGTATCAAAAATCATCAAGAGATTCTAATAGAGACAAAAAGAAATAATTTGAATGACTGTAGACTCAGAGATACAGCACTTAGAAGTTCTCCCATTAAACACAAAAGAAGAGAAATAAGCTGAGATCGGGAGACATAGAGGCAAAGATTCTTAATAAGGAGTACCTCAGAAGAGATATACATGAGGTAGACTGCTCAGAAGATAACAGGAACTATAAAGCTTCTCTTCTACACATAAATTTGCAGTTAAAAAATGGTACAGCATGAATCCTAAATTTCTGAGTTAGAAATTAATCGTAACTTGAAGAAACTAGAACCATTTTCCTTAAAATTTTGATGGTCTCACAGTGCATCTAGGAAAGATTAAAGCATATATAATAGCAAAAATAATTAAAGAAAGCAATGGTGGGCAAAGATGCTTTATTTAGTGCCATTATCTGCCTTTATGGTATCTCCCAAACTATTGAT